AAATTTTGCCATAATATGCAGAGGAGAATATTCCAGATTACCCTACCAATTCTCGATAATTTGATATATTTGAGATAAAAAAAAATATAATTTTCTCATATCTTCTGCACTAGTTGGCTATATTTCTATCCCATCAAGATTTTCCATACCCTGGTAAATTCTTAACCTTAAACTACTGTAAATTGAGCATTTAAATAATATATGATGAAGTGTTTAGTTTTCTTTAGTGTTGCACATTTTGCACTCAAGTTGTGGAGTAATTTTCACAATTTTATTATTAACAGAAGATAGATCATAGATCATTGTAAATTTGATAATATGACTTATAAAATCGTAAAAGTCATTAGTAACTCATAGTTAAACTTAATTTCAATTTAGTCCAAACTGTTCTAGATTATCTTTGACAAGATGTTTAGTATCAGAAACTAGTACCTCAAATGATTTTAATTAATGTGGTGTTAGACAGTTTATAGAATCTTTTACATAAAAACGGCTAAACCCATCTTGGTTTGCATTTGTTTAGGTCACTATAAATATTAAATAAACAAAACTAATGTCGTAGAAGTTTTGAAACGGAATAAGAAAAATTTGAATTAAGTTTCAATCAGAGGGCTTCATTTTGTCCCACCAAAAGCAAGTGTTATAGACTAAAAATATCACTAAACTAAAATGTTAAATATATTTCTTCTAGATACAAACTTTTTACCTCATTCCTTATAAGTGATGGATCAGGGATCATGTAAATATCTTGATTTACTTTGGAACAAGGCTCTGTCATGACAATGATAGTTCCTGAATCAACATATGACAACAAAAATGTCTGAATCCAACCAGCATTTCCATGAGATATTTTTTCAAGCAATCTGATGAAATATAAAAATGTAATAAAAGCATAGGCAGAGGATTTAATAATATGAATAATAGATATTATGTTTTTTTAATTTTTTTAAAAAACATTTGGCCGAAGATCACCAAGTATATATGTTATCACATCAAGTATTATTTATTCGACGTTTTGGCTTCAAAAGCCATTTTCAAGATCCTGCAAACTAATTTTAATTTAGTTGTAATACTTTAAACTATATCATTGTAAAACTTATTAATTTTATAATTTCAGTTACATAGGGAGTCTAAATTCTATTTCATAATTATATATATATATATATATATTGTGACGTTCCCTTTGTCAACATAAATCAAACAAACGAGTTTACTTTTTGAATATACTATTTATTTTAACACATAACATCAATTCTCAGGTTGGGTTCTGACAACTGAACACTCATTCAACATTTAATAACTACAATGTACACTAATTTACTAATTACTAACTACACTTATTTATAATTTAAAATATTTTATAAAATAATTTGTCCCGGTCTAAACTTTTGGTTCTATCCCTCTGTCAACATAAATGGCATTGTTAGCACTCACCCAAATGTTTATGCCTGCCAGCAAAATAATCTCTTCTTACTTACGAATGTCCCGTTTTCTGTACCACTTAATTGTTTTCTGCTATGTTGTTTTCTTCCAACATAAAATAATCTTCACTAGTGGCCTCTATCAACACTCGAACCGGCTAGGACTCCTTTTTCTATTTTCTCAACTTGCTGGCTGGCACCTTCTCACTTGGCAGCTCGTCACCTTCCCTCTTGACAGCTTGTCACATTCTCTCTTGGCGGCTCATAACCTTCTCTCTTGGCCGCTATCACCTTCTCTCTCGGCGGCCCGTCACATTCTGAGTTACATGAGGCTTGCTTCCCCCACTTCTTCCCCGTAGTTCGTGCTGTTACCGCTTTTGCGCCACTATTCAAATGCCATGTAATGTTGACATTACAATATATATATATATATATATATATATATATATATAAAACATAACATTTTGGTTTAAATTAATGCAAAATTTATTATCTACCTACTAGGCACCGCTTCATAAAATTTCTTAAAATGTATCATTATAATATAATAGGTCGGTTTGTCATTCTTTTATTTCATCAAATGTCATTTTTTTACTTCTAAAAATTACAAATAAATAATTAAAATAAAATGTTAAAATTTTTAAGAAAAGAAAACAAAAAGAATATTATTTGATCTCAATTTATAATCCTCTTTCGTAGAAAATATTAAATATGTTCTTCTGACACATTCATACAAGACTGCATTTATTTTATACAGGAGTGGGGTGGAGGAGTTAGGGATCGCTTGTTTTATCTGTTTTATTTGAAGTATTTGTTCGGTATATTATATTTTAATTTTGTCTATTGCGCAAGCATAAAAAGTGTTTAGATTATCTACATACGTCCGTTGATTTACAGATAGTTAGAGGTTGTTAGTAATAAATAATGACTCTATTATTCTCCATTAGTTAACATTCTGTTCTCTATGTAGAACCGACACTGTACCGAAATCAAATTTATGTCCATTATTTGTGGTATACTGTGATAATCCTGTAGCTAATTTTGATTTTGTCATTTTAGACATGCAGTTCTGTTTATGTTGCATCCTCTGTTGAAACCATTGTGAGGTTTGTCCGTATTATGTTTTATTTTCACAATCCTTTAATTGTATTTTATATATAATATTAGTCAATCTTTCCTTAGGAAAAATATCCTTGGTTCTACTGCATAATTTTCCTAATTTATTAATTGGTTTATTCCCAAATTTTATTTCGTTAAGATCATATTTTTTATAAGTGTTTTCTATTTTATTAGCTCAACCTCTAATATAAGTGACAACAAAATATTTTTTGGGGTTGCAGATTAAGTTAATATTCTTTCTTTTCTCATACTGAAATTATAGTTCAGTATTTTGTTTTTTAGTATCATCTACTTTAAAGTAGTTTATGATTAGATTTGTTCTTTTATTTCTGGTCTTGTTTTGATTAGTTTTAATATATGTATTGATGTTTGGATCATTTAGTTCTTTCTTATTATCTTTTTTCTGTTTTTATCTAAGCCCTCTTATTTTCTATTTAATGATGAATAGCAAGTGAATATGGAAGCTGATGAAGGAGCAGGAACTTTGTTCAATGGGTGGATGATGGCTCTGGCTATTGCTGAAAAGCAATGTAGAAAATTGCTTAATAAAGCAGAATGGGTACCTATAAACCTGCCAAGAAAGGAAGCTGTTGCAGAGTTTTGTATGATAACATGCCACAACTACCTTAGGGTCATTTTATCCCCATTGATGCAGCTTGACAGGATTTAAATGGTAAATTTTAAAAATGTATTCCTCTAAAATACCTATGATTTTGTTTATTTGAAATAATTAACTTCTTCTGCTGGTTAATTATTACCTGGAATAAAAAATAGTTAAATATAAACTAACCAATGTGACTGAGAAAAAGATCACCATCTATACTGACAGTCAGGCAGCAATAGGTGCTCTCGACAACTATTATGTTTATTCAAAGGTCGTTAAGGAATGCAATAGAGCACTTAACGAGCTAACTGAGCACAACAGAGCTGCAGTGGAGTGGGTGCCAGGTCACTCTGGCATACCAGGCAACGAGATGGCTGATGAGCTAGCCAGGTTGTAAGTTAAATAATCATATGTTCAATCTCCGAGTAATGACGAATCCGCTATGCAGATTCTGTCAGGAGGAGAATGAAACAGCTTTTCACATCATATGCAGATGTGACAGGTTTATAAGGCTGAGACTGGTGGTGTTTGGGGAGGAACAGATGGATCTCCCCAGAAGATATGAGTCAGTCAATCCAACCAGCCTACTTAGATACGCGGAAGCGACAGGACTAACGTTTTAAACAAAACGACTTACTGAAATTGGCGCACAATGGACCCAGTAGGGGTCGACGTGCTTAAAGCCAACAAATATATAAAAAAAAATATATAAAAAAAATATAAACTACGAAATTTTTTTATCATATTATTGTTTATAATAGTGCTCAACATGGCACTAAATAGAGCTAAGAAGAGAATAAGGCCTTTTAGACTGGGCCACAGGGAGCTCAAACCTTCCTGGTCAGATGATATTGTAATATATACTGAATATTGTTGTATTCGGGAACAATGGAAGAAACCTCCTATACAAGCTCCAAGTCCTGCAGGAAGAACTACAACTGCTCAAAATGGAAATAAACATCAACAAAACAAAAGCAATGAGGATATGTAGAGGAGAGGAAAGGAGACGGGAGACAGGGTAATTCGAATGAAGGGAGAGGAACTGGAGCATGCCAGAGATTGTAAGTATCTGGGAGATCATCTAAACGAGTATATCTGGATAGATTATGAAATTAGGGAAAGAATAAAACTGGCCAGCAAATGCTTCCAATCACTAAAAACAGGCTTATGGGGGAAGAGAGAAGTGTCAACAAATTTTAAGAAAATGGTATATAAAAATACACTTGCCCCATACTGACCTACAACAGTGAATCCTGGACTATTACCTCAAAGCACAAAAGCCAAATTCAAGCAATGAAAATGTGCTTTCTGAGGAGAATAGAGAAAAACATGAAGGGACAAAATCAGAAATACAACGATAATAGCATGAAAAACCAGCAGAAAATAGAAAACAGATTATGCTGGTTTGGCCATGTCAAAAGAATGCCAAGAGGAAGGCCCTAAAGATTTGGGAAAGTTCAGTCAGAGATAATTTAGGAAAGAGAGGAATAAACTGGAATAGGCGCAGTCAGCTGATGCAAGAACAAGATCACTGGATCAGGCTCTTTATAAGGGATCCTCTATATTGATCTATGATAGAAGAGGAGTCGATTAAGAAGAAAAAGAATTTCATAATTAACTAAGGCAGAGATAGGTGACTGAACAGCTGTTGATGTTAAACAATGATAAAGGTTAATTTGCTTTTGTCTCTTCTAAAAAGTGATAATTTAGTATAAATACTCATTTTTTGTGTAGCAAAAGTGTTTTTTGAAGACAACAGAGCTGAAGACAAAAAACTAAACAAAGCGGATTTCACCGCCAACGATGGTGGAACGGTCACAACACGAGGAGGTAAGCAATATGAACTTAGCAAATAGTGATACAAACACTGACGTTGGCTCCTGAGAGCTGGTTATTGGTCGTAAAAGATCTATGTCAAATTCAAGCGAGCCAAGAGCACAAAAACGACCAACAAAACCTATTCCAACCTCTAACAGTTTTGAGGTTATAACCAAGATCAACTAGCTAACTGAAGAAATAAGACAACCGCCTCAAAATGATAAAACCCCACCAATTTTTATAAATGGTGTGGAGAATTATCATGCTTTAATTTCATTCTTAGAAAATGAAGCTGGCCCTAAAACATTCAAGAAAAAATCGAAATTAAAAGGAGTCACTGTTTACCCACAAACACCTGATATATATCGAAAATTAAACTCAAGCCTACGAAATAAAGGTGCCGACTTTCACACCTACCAACTCCCACAGGACAGGTGCCCAAGAGTTGTTAAATATCTCCATCATGGAACACCAGTCAAGATAATCAGAGAAGAATTTAAAAATATGGGCTATGAAGTAACCAATGTAGTCAATGTAATATCTCGATTTAAAAAACCTCTTCCTATGTTTTTCGTAGACGTTACAAAAGAGACATTCAGAGAAGATATTTTTAAAATTGAGTTTTTATATTATTCTCACATTAAAATCGAGGAACCACGTCAGAAGCGAAGCATTCCTCAGTGTGTTCGGTGTCAGCAATATGGGCACACTAAAACATATTGCAACCATCGACCATGCTGTGTGAAGTGCGGCGAATATCACAAAAGAAGTTCATGTTTAAAAACTAGAGAGACTCCCGCTAAGTGTGCCAATTGTAGTGGTCAGCACCCGGCTAACTACAGAGGCTGCCAGACGCTGAAAGATCTCAGGGTTCAGCGCAATGCAAGAAACCGCCTTCAGC